ACATGAAAAATACTGAGAGCGCCATTCATTTTGACTCACCCGTTATATCTGTCACCGTCTGTGATGCTGTGGGTGCGTGACAGACGCGTTAACGCACTACTGTCTAGACTATAATATGAATGGTCGCATAGGCGAAGAACATCTTTATGCACTACATAGTAACTAGAGCGGCCTAATCGTGTTTTACATGTAAATCTCGTACAGATTACGTTGAAAGTTTTTGTCAACATGTGTATTTCGGAATGTTGCTAGTACGATTGTACTCTCGAAAATCCATAGTTTGATTCTTCATGATCTGTGCAACTATTGTTGTAGTATTCAATTGTTGTCCTTTTCACAATAACTCTTACATTGCTAAGACTATATTATAAATTGATGCTCAGAAAATTGCTTGAAATAATGTTTCGCTGTATTCTATGAAGACACAGCTTCATTGCTATGGAGTGCATATTTTGACAGTGACATTGCACTTTAAATTTGAAACGAAGCAGTAATCATCATGGAAAAGGTATTATATCTTGGCATGTACCGACATTGTGTAGTTGCCGAGAAAGATTAGCTGTTATCCTCTTTCAAGAATATCCGAGACTCTACAAGACTTTCAGTACGCAAAACTCATCTTGGCTTCATGTGTTTATGCTTACAACCGAACAAGCCGGTTACGGCAGAAAATGGTCAAGATTGACTCAGACACGGTTTAAATCTTCACTTTTGTGATTTTCACCCGAGATTCGCAGAAACTTTGCTTTTTGTGGTGTGAATGGTCTGTTCGGTTGTACGCATACCTAGATGAGATCAAGCTGAACTGTTCAAAATAAAAGTTTCGTAGAGTTTCGGAGGTTCTTACGAGACAAAAACGTTCATTTATATCAGCGATTTCTCAACCTCGGCAATTGCATACTTATATCTTACCAGCTATCATGGCAGTATTATCGACTTTGACCTTCGGAGTTGGTAATTGAATGCTCTGGTGAAATGGTGGCTCGAGAAGAATGTGTGGAGGCTTCAATTCACGTAAATAAATGATGGTTGATCTGTCTTTTTGCTTCACTAGATCGATAATTTGGAAATATGTGCATGGTAATAGCAAAATCTCGTCTTTTGTGGACCGATAAGAATAGGGCTGGATCGCTTTGCCATTCAGACATTCGATGGATAAAATAGTGCGAGTTCCATTTCGTCCTAAATATTGATCTAGCTGAAGCAGTTCGATAGAATTTGCGCACGAGCTAAATTCAGGCCAGCATAAACACTCTCCTTTCTTATAGGTATCACTTAAATCCAGGGAAGTTCCTCTCCATGCAAGACATCGTATTGATGGTAATTTGAACAGCGCAGTTAAAAATAACTTTAGATAAGAGAGCCACGGTTTCAAGTTCTCCTGATTCTGAGGATAAAGTATTTTATTTAACGAGGTATATAGGCTACCAAGGCTGTTAGTCCATTCCAACGTGTATAAGTAAATAGCTGCGAACTCGTCTGTCGTTAGAACTCCATCGACGTTATGAGCATTAACTTTTGCTTGATGTGCTTTCGCTTCGATATCAGGAACAAGTTGTAACAAGGGCTTCACTGCTTCCTCTATTGAAACCAACGGTTTATTACTATATCCTTGTAGTAAATTTAGTGTCTTAGGAGGTTTTTCACAGACATCGAGAAAGCGTAAATTTGTGTGAGTGTCCAAAGTAGAAGCAGCCATTCACGATAAAGCTTACGAGACTTTTTTATCGCATGTGATGTCGGTAAATAGAAAAGCCATAGTCAAATCAACACGTTTCTCTCTGTGGAGGTTGCTTTCTTCAGAACACAAAACATTTTTCTTACTTCTCAGTATGTTTTTTTATGCAAATAAAATGAAAATAACAGGGATTCACAGTAGGCACCTACAATCAATTCAAAATAAACATGTACAACTAACAAAATACTACTTTCGTCTATAGTTGATTTACAGAAATAGTGTGAAGAATTTTAATTGTCTTCAATATAAGAGATCGTATGTTGTGAAAAAAGGCGAAAGCCCACCATTGCATTATTTTTTTTGTCAGTTCTGCTGACTGTAGAGTATGTCGAGCCGTTGCTACGTTCTCATTGGTAATCAAACTTCCATAAATATGCATTTGTGTCAATAGTAGAAGCAAAGTACGACGGTAGTAAGACAAAGGAGAAAACATTAAAAAGTGTTTCTCATATTAGTTTTCGGACAACAAACGCGTAATTCATCATCAGTACATATGTCGAGCAAAAATTTGAAATCATCTATCGGTACTCTACCAAAGAATTCTACTGGGAAAAAGAAATCTTCTTCCTCAACTACTGAAACCAATATCAAACAAGATGCTGGCAAGTTCCAACGTGATCCACGGGCTCGTATTATTGAGAACTTCGTTGTTATTTGGTTGGATTCAAACATGAATGAGTCCAATGGAGATTATCAAAATTCGATTACTCGGCTTCGATCCATCGTTAATACGATTAATACATTTACCAATTCAGACGAATGCGTCGGCTTTCTCGCCCAAATCAAGGATGAAAAAGTCTTTATGATTGTGTCAGGTAGCTTCGGTCAACAGGTCGTACCAATCATTGAACAAATGATTCAGCTTGATTCAATATATATCTTTTGTAGTCATAAGAGTAGGCATGAAATATGGGCGAAAGAATTCAAAAAAATCAAAGGAGTTTTTACTGAGATTGAACCAATCTGTAACTTGCTCAGAAAAGATTTAAAAAAGTGTGACAATGACATGGTAGCAATTAGTATTCTTTCTACAGTTAAATTTTCTGAATCGGCCTCGGATCGGCTTGACCAATCATTTATGTATTCCCAGTTGCTCAAAGAGAATCTCCTTGAGATTGAGCATAGTAGTGAAGAGAAAAGAGAGCTGATGGATTTTTGTCGCATTCAGTACTCAGGCAATTCTGCGGAATTGAGTATAATTGATGAATTCGACCAAACGTATAGTCTTCATTCACCTATATGGTGGTATACGCGTGAATGCTTTACCTACTCAATGCTGAATCGAGCTTTGAGAACACTGGATATCGAAGTAATCATAAAGATGGGATTTTTTATACGAGATCTGCATCGACAAATTCAAGATCTTCATGCTAAAGCGAATGATGAATCCAGCTCACTGACTGTCTATCGTGGTCAAGGAATGATGAAAAATGAATTCGAGAAAATGAAAAAAAGTAAAGGTAGCCTTTTATCATTTAACAGTTTTCTCTCTACGAGTACTGATCAACAAGTTTCTCTCGGTTTTGCGCGTCATGCTCTAGAAAATCCTTATGCGTTTGGAATTCTCTTTGAAATGCGAATAAATCTCGCAGTTTCATCAACTCCTTTTGCTTTCTTGGATACTATCAGTTACTTTTCGGACAAGGAAAAGGAAGTTCTTTTCTCAATGAATACTGTCTTTCGTATTGGTGTGATGGAAAAAATCGAGGATCGGCTTTGGCGAGTTATGCTAACTCTGACAAGTGACAATGATCAACAGTTGAAACATCTTACTGAACATATGAGAGAAGAAACTTCTGGATCGACAGGATGGCACCGACTTGGCCGTTTAATGATTACAATGGGCGAGTTTGATCAAGCTGAAAAAGTCTACAAGGCATTACTTGCTTCATCATCAGGCGACAATTGCCAAGAAACTTCCGATCTTTATCATCAACTCGGATTTATACAAAAAGAAAAAGGAGATCTGGAAAAAGCACTCTCTCATTATCAAAAGACACTGGAACTTCAAGAAAAGTCATCCGTTCCCAATTATTCATCTCTGGCTACCACGTATATTAATGTCGGCGAAGCACACCGAGATAAAGGAGACTACTTAACAGCACTCAAGTTGTATGAAAAGGCTCTTGAAATTCAGAAAAAAACTCTTCCTTCGAACCATCTGTCACTAGCTACTACATTCAATTGTATCGGCCTCGTGCATCGAGATATTGGAGACCATTCGAAAGCTCTTAGTTTCTATGAAAAATCACTTGAAATTCAAAAGGACGCTCTTCCTGCAAATCATCCTTCGTTGGCCACTACCTTCAATTGTGTTGGCGCGGTATATGATGCGATGGGAGATTACTCAAACGCACTTTCATTTTATCAAAAAACACTTGAAGTTCAACAAAGTTCTCTCCCATCAAGCCATCCATCGTTGGCCACTACCTACAACAATATTGGTGCTGTACATGATTCGATGGGAGACAGTTGGGTTGCTCTCGCTTTCTACCGAAAAACACTCGAAATAGAGTTAAAATCTCTACCAGCTAATCATCCTTCGTTGGCTACAACTTATAATAACATGGCAATGGCATTCGAAGGTCTCGAGGAGTATCAGTCAGCCGTCGAATATGCTCAACGCGCTGTTGACATTGGTCGCGAAGCATTAGGGCATAACAATGCGCAAGTTCAAAGATATGAAAGTTATCTCAACAGAATCCGCCGACATTTGTAATCGACATCGCATAACTTTTCGACTTTTAGCGAACACTAAGTTTTCTTAGCAGTATAGGCTTTTTCGTAGTCTTTTATATCGATTGTAATAACTAAAAAGTGAACAATCACCTAATCCGGATGTCTCATGGATGTGGGTGTGGGTAGGTGTGGGTGTGGGTGTGGGTGTGGGTGTGAGTGTGGGTGTGTGGGTGTGAGTGTGTGGGTGTCGGTTGTGGGGTGTTTGGATGTGGGTCTGGTTGTTGATACTATTATTCTCTTGAGCCACATTCATACACCCACCAATGTTTGAACGTTTTTACACACAGATTATCATGCTTAATAAACATCGAATTAAATCACTTAATTTATCAAGTCCATATATTATCGATCATGCTTTTTTTCATCAGTTTCTATTCTATCAAAATTTATTCAACTTGAAAATCTTTTATTTTTCACGATATCAAATTAGATTATCTTAATGAACTTTTTATTCATTTACTTTCCTTACCTTGTCTATCTTCATTAGTCATCGATTGTATAGATAATGTTGAAAATACAAAACATCATTTATCATCAAATATTTCGTTTACCTGTATTAAAATATTGCAAATTATCATAAATGAATCTTTTAATCGTGTTTCACTACCTATAGCAACTACTGAATTCAGCCCTATTGAATATCTTGTTATTACAAATTTTTTGCGAACCAATGAATTAAATGGTCTTTTATCAGATGTTCCTCAACTTCGTCGTTTATCGGTTCATCTTTCAAATCAATTTGCTGAAAAATACAAAAAAAAACACGATTCAATTCACTTGAATCATTTGAGAGATGTTTCTTTAAATATAAGACATACTACTTTCAATAAATTTGAATTAATAATAAAACATTTATTTAAACAAGTTGAAGTTTTATGTATTACATCAGAAAATAATTCAACATATTTAAATGAAATGTCGAAGAAATTAAACGAGTTGACACTAATACAACATACTGCAACTGTTAATATTTAAAATACATGGAATCGAGAAAGATCTGGATAAGTGAGATAACTTAATAATATCCATGAAAAACATGTTAAAACAAATTGAACTAATTTAGTCGATATAGGACGAACCACATAATAACGTCGGTGTGGGTGTTGATCAATTTTACACCCACGTCCTTCAAAATAAATCATTTCAAATGAATTTGAGTGTCTTTCTGATTTGGCATCGCGATCGAAGTCAGCATTTGTTTTTTGATCTCTCTTGCTATAACGAAAAAAGAACAGTTGAATGAGAATACAACATTCACACCCGTTGAAAATCGAAAAAGAAGGTGAAGCATTTTGTTACTTTTTCATGGAACAACAGTGAAAAGCAATAACACGAGGACAAGACAAAAAACGTTGAACAAGTACATCAAAGCTGAAATAATTTTGTCTGTCTAATTGGCAGTTACTAGTCACGATCGAACTGCACTATGGTATGGATTGGTGACTGTTTTGAATGAGGCTTTTCAACAATGTCAGACTGCTTGTCCGACATTGAATCATCAGTTTCATTAACAAGGACCATAGGCAAATTGTTGACTATACCGACGTTATTGTGTTTTTTCGATAGAAAATATTGTCGTATACGAGAAATAATGATTCGAGACAGAGGAATGATCAGTAATTTCAGGATGAGAAATAATAAGCCGAAAACTTCCAAGACAACAATGGTAAATAGAAGAGTATGAAATACAATTTCTATTTGTCGAGCAATCGGTTCTTGTACGTTGCTTACATAAAAGACAGTCTTTTCAATAGTGACAGTAACATTTGTTTGCGTCCGTTGAAAGAATGTATATCGAGTTTCACTAGCAAATAGTTCATCCGTTTTAACATCGAACGATGATGACCATATCGCACTGAATGTTGGCATCCCATCGGTAGACAATGGAGCTGTTTGATTGACAATTGGAGTTAGTTGAAGATTGAAGAGAGTTGACGGCGCGAGGACATGGTTGAGTGATGAAGGAATGAATGTTGGCGCGACGTTGAGTTCCAGAAGTGTGTATCTTATCAAAATAATCAGAATATTATTACGGAACTGTTCAAATTCTTAAAAAGAGTAGCATCGAGCTAATCTCCTGTCGAATTGAAACAACAATCACATCATTCTCATTTCTATATTTTGAATAAATTGAACACTGCTAAGGTCTTGTTACAGAACCTTCACGTGTATTATATCGTGACACACTTCAAAACTATCTCCTATCAATGGTCACTCATTCATTGACTTCATCTCGCTCGGTCTTACCTGCCGTCTTTACTGACTGCTGATAGTCCAAATAGTCCGACACGAATAGCGCCGACTGTTCGTAATCCTGGCAAGGTGAGTTGAATGCTAATATCATGAGATGGAAGTGGAATTGTCAACGATAGAATACTTCCATTATAGCTTGTGTCACACTTTGAAATTGGTATTGGAAGGAGTATGTAGTCGATAAGACGGTAAACAACAAGTGAGTCTTGACAGGTGAATGCTGTTTGAATAAGATCAATCTTGAGATCAAACGATTGTAAGTTGAGTAAATCAAACATGGCTTGATTTTGTCTAGTTGAACGGCTAGAGCCTGACATCTTTTGCATTGTTGTCATGAATTTTGCATTGCGTAGAGTGACATCGCAAGCAAATGATTGCTCACCAATGATACTTTCTATTGGATATTGATGTAAAAAAGCATTAGAAAATACATAGGCCGAAATAACCATAACAATGATACCAATGGAGACTAAACCACCGATCCAAAACTATACAACAAGAAAACAAAATAGAATTAGATATAGATTTTGCAAGACATGATTAGTAGCGTTGAAATATATACCGAGAAACTCTTGCTTTCGTCTCCCACATCGTAGATCGAAACAGACATTTTGACATGCTTCACTTTTGATCCTAGTATGGACCATGATAGACTTGCCAAGAGCTCTAGTTTTACGATTAAAGATGAAACTCAATCATTCTTTTTGTTAAGTAACTTCCATTAAATGAGAATAAAAGCTAAGTTGATAAATATTTTGTCATCAAATTCGACTTTGCAACAGATTCTCGAAATTAGGAGTCCAAATTTTGACACTAAGTCAATCATTTGCAACCCAAAAAAAATCACTCACCTCTCCTTCGCCGATAAGATCCACTTTTTGGAATACTTGCTTGAATAGACTGTGTACCCTACGTGCGTTCGGACAATGGGTCTCGGAAATTTTTACCACAATAGCTGCTGTGATTCCCAATGTAAGAACTAGAAGAACCCATGTCATTGGTGATACGCGTATACAATGAGCAGATTGTGTATTCAAACTGAACATGTTCTTCATGAGTAAATCATCAAATACGGTAGTTTCGGGTGACTCAGGATAATCTTGATCTTGGTCGATCGATTCAAACATTGAATAAGATAGGTCTTGAATACTTCCATATGGACAGAATGAATTATTTCCTGCACATTGCACACAATCGCTTGAGAACGTACCATTGGAACATGGGGTACACAATTCGAGCCCAGAATAATTTCGATGAGTACCAGGAATGCAAGGAACAGATGATGACGTCAAGAATGGTACTCGTGTGTACGGATACATACCTGCGGGTGCCGAAAGCAAAGTAGCTGCATTTGCCAAATTATCAAAAATAGCCAAATTGCCGGACTTTGAACAAACGAGTCGAAGTAATACGGTATTCATGCTTGAAAACAGAATTTGTTCACTATTAGGATAAATAAGAACCGGTTGCGTATCATCTGTGAAACCATCGGATTTGATATCATAGATATGCACGAATGACGATATCCATTGTTCCGTCAAATACACATAACTATTGGCAAGAATGACTGCCTTTTGACCTTGATCATCCAACCATGCAACACTCTTTCCAAACCCTTTCAATCCGATCCCATTTTGACGAGTACTTATCGGTTGAGATACATTGTCAAATGCGTACAATAGAACAATATTGAGAGCTTGAATTCCGATCAGTATCTGTCGACTACGCCAAGCGATACTCACTGACATAAGTGTATCTGTCGAATAAACACGACTTTGTGTAACAAGATAAGCGACACGCGGATCGGACCAGTTAAAATTCAAGTTACTTTGGATCGTAATATCACTCACACGACCTGGAAGCGACAGGGATCTATTCAGGGCTAATATAGAACCACATGCAATTGCAGCCGATGGTGTCGATTGACAATAGCCAACTAAAACACCATATTCCATATTTGAACCGATGTCGATTGCTCGAGGTGAAATATTGAAAGTATTTGGCCATACGGTCAGTTGAAATGGTGGTTGTAATTCATAGAAAAATACGAAATCGTCGGCAAATCCATACACACCTGTGCCATTTCCATCAATAGTAATGACAAAATTGTCTTGTGTTGAATAGTTTGATATGATTTGTTCATTGATTAACCGAAAATTGCACGTAGTATTGGTAGCAAAAAAGCCGATCACATTGTTTCCTTGAAGATCAATACAATTGTAGGCAAACAGTGTGCTATTGACGACCGGAACGACAGTACTATAGACAAAATCACATGTTGTCTCATCATAATTGTTGTTACACACATTCGAACTATTTGTTGGAATCTGAACGGTGTACCAAACTAAGTAAACGTTGTCGTTTGCGACCGTCATACGATCATTCGTAGCAGCTTTGATTCCATATAGATCATGGTTGGTGGCCACCTTGGTATACAATAATGTATGATCAGCTAGGAGAACCGTCATCATCATTATCGTTACAGTAAAAGACATCTTGAATATTCTAGAAAAAAACGAGTAGATGCAAAGGAAACGCTAAGCAATAATGACAGTAATAAAAAAAAGAAAGAAATTTCAGAAAATAAAATGTACACTTTCAGGTACGTACCAAACCCAAATGCTTTGAGTTTTGGGGTTTTAATATTTAGTTTAGTATTGGATTTTATATCTCGAGTTTCGGTGTTTTTCTTAGGTTTTGGATCGAAAAGTGTTGTGATGCTCTGTTCAGTACCCAAAAGATGACACAACTTCGTCAGACCCAAAATCCGAAACTGTTGGGTCGGATTTCGATGTCGATACATGCCTAGACACTTTCATAATGCGAGAAGAACTGAACTTCTTGAGTAGCGACACTATGATTTCATATCATCATTTTTCTCCTCGTTCTCTTGTCTCTCCCACTATATTAGCGCATAGAGTCTGTAGTTACTGAATACAACTGGCAAAGTAAAGTTATCAAATAAGGGTCATTTTCAAGCGTAAGAACTTCGCCACTCCTTAAGTTTTCCCTACAAAAAAAATGTGAACAAGCACCGCAGTAATGAGAATTCATGTAGAGAAAAATAATGACACTGCTGGCATTTTTACTTTTTCTCTTCTTTGTCATACTTGATCAATATTATTTTTCCATTAAAAGAATCGTCGTTCAATTGACTTAATAAGTTTTTACTCTTCCTTTTTTTCAATTTTAATTTATTTTTATAGTGACATTTCGACAACGACGTTATCTTCATCAAATACTACAATGAAAAAATATATGTTTTTACACACCTTATTTATTTTGATAGTGGAACGACAATACCGGTGATATCGGAAGGAATCGACTATTTGTTTTTCTCCTCGGTCCCACTATCAAAATAAATAAGACGAGCAAAACAACAAAGAATGATAGAAAACAAGAAGAAAAAGAAGCCATATGTATGTAAAAATGTACATTTGATCATCGCAATGTCTGATGAAGATAGCATTGTTGTCGAAACGCATCACTGTTAAAATAAGCTGAAGATGAAAAAGAAAAATTAAAAAACGATTAAGTCAATTAAAATGTTCTTTCTGTTTAATCGAAAAGAATTCTAGTTCAGTTCGTTAGAATAATAAATTGACTGTTTTAATGCAAAATCGAAACTTGGAAAATCAAATCAAATAGAGGAAGTGAGAAACAAATATCCTATTTTCTCCTACTGGACTAGTTTTTGTTTAGTTTCAAGTGTGCTCTATTCTATCATGTACCAACAATTGTTGTTACGATGACAATATCAGACGCAATGATTGACTTATCGAGAATCATTCACAATTGGTGAATAATAAAAAGTTTCTAAGGCCTACACAATAACTGCTTAGACATTTCTACTCACAAGTGTTGAGCAAACATATCAACAAACACGTAAGAAATGTTCGCAGCGAATTCGAGGTTTTTTCCTTGATATTTAATTCACAATCCGTATCGTGTCTCTCGAACATTGTGTTGGATGCAGAATTTTATGCACATGATTTCTCTTCAGAATTTCCAAAAAATAATACTCGAAAAGTTTTTCTGATTTCTTCCAACTTGTCCTGTATCGACTGCCTACTCGGAATAAATTTTTTGTTTGACTATTCGAGAAATCATCTAAAAAATTTTCGACGCATTTGCTTCCACTCTCTGCGGTTACCATCGTGCTTGAAACAACGTTTCTGGTTGGAGTTTCGAGGAAACATCAGCTACTAAATTTTTGTCGAAATTTTCAAAAATGATGCAAGGTCTGTATCTTGCTCGGATCATAGTCCATGAGTAAGATAGAGTCCTTTTCTCAACCAACATTCTTCCTAAAGCTCATTCTAATAGCGATCTATCTATTCGTTGACTTACTACTTAATCAATACTCTGAAATAAAATATAATTACCAGTATTTCATCACCCATTTTGTATTTCCCTGTCCCAAATTTTTCTCAATCTTTTGGAACTGTTTCCTATTGTCGTTCTTTTCTGTTTTTGTATCGCTTTAGCTGCCATCTCGCGAATTCTATTTTCAAAAGATCGAATTTGAACGACTCACGATGCCTTTACTGATTTGTGCAGCCTATAGTTTATGATATTTGTGTAATTTTTTTCTTTGAACTATTCATGTTCGAAGCTTTCGAAGTTATGTCTTAGAACGAAATTCGGGTGTGGGTGCTCACACTCGAGATAATACATACAGAATGTGAGTGAACTTATTTGTAATGATAAATCTGCGCGCCATCCTAAAGAGATGGCTCTGATTTTGAGTGCAGCTGTGTGCGTGCCAATACGCTGTGCCTTTATGGGGCTGACTGTGGGTGTGGGGTGTGGATTGAGTGAATATGAACACTCACACCAACCACACCTACACTTTTATTTAAAAAATCTTTTCTTTTAATAGATATTTTGAAGAGGATATCAACTTGAAAATAATTTTTACGGAATATTCAATCAATTCTCTCATCCATGGTGATTCACTTTTGGAACAATATTATTTAAAAAAAACTAAACTCAATTAGAGATCAGAAAACTTTCGCTATGTTAATTACGACAATGTTCTCGCGCCTTAGAATATGACGAACTAAACAACTGTGGACTAAATAACTTTGTTCTCTAGACTTCTTGGCAATATAACTGAAGCCCATCCGATGTTTTGTCTTTTAGAATTAAGTTCTAAGATTATAGAAAAAAACTTATATAGCGTATGTATTTGAATATTTTCGTATTATCTATTGCAATCGGCTATCTTTTTGTCGTTTGTTTTTATTTACTCTGTGATTCTAATGAAGATCTTAACTTGTCTAAAATTTATCCAAAAACTATCGAAACTTGTTCTGCTTCTATCGTAAACTAGACGAAAGAGTCAATCATTTCTGATAATGTTCTCATCATGTTTGTTATATTAGTTGATTATGCATTGAAGGCAAGTTTTACCATAGATACATTCTCTTATTCAAATCAGTCTCTAAGAGCTGTTCAAATCTTACTAAAAAGTTATGTTAAGTCGTAATAATCAAATATGAATGATAGGAAAGATGAGACAGATCATCCAATCTGTGGATAGTTGAGAACTCGCCTGTTGTTTGTTTTGCTTCTATTTCTAAAAGTATGTTTTATTGCAACATTTTTTAGTAATATCGAAATGTAGTATCATTGATCGATTTAACACGTTTTTGGAAATCATATGTTTGGTAGATGACCTGATTAGTAAGAAGTTTAATAAAAACAGTTATCAAAATCCGTTGAGTAGACACTGAGATATGAGCGTTTTACTGTTGACGATTCAAGGTACAATACGAGCGTAATTCACGCATCAACACTGTGCTATAGCAATGCATATTTTTTGTTTTTGAACAAACATATGGAAAGCTCTTTTAATGAAGATTCTAAAGAGCTGTTTCTAAGCTCTCTGATGTATGTTGTAGTCGATGAAAGTGAAAGATAGATTACTTTGGAAAACTTTGAATTCATACGTAGAATCAATTATGTTGTATTTTCAATCGCAAGTTTCAACGATTAGTATACAAAAATTGTTTACAAAGAAAAAGAAGAAATTATTGTCGTCAATATTAAACATCAGGTAAAAGCCATGCTTGATCTTAATTCATTTATATAATAGATCTTACTGGCCTATGATTCATCATATCATGCATCTGTTCTTGCAAATCATGCAGTCTTGAGACAAAAAAAGCTCTCCATTCTTATAAAATAAAAAAAAGAACCATGAGTCTTACTTTCGTTCAATATTTTGTATTGCAGCTTCAACTGGATCTTTCTTTCCATGTTTTAACATATAACTCCAATAATCATCAGCTATAGCACTTTCATGCTGCATTGCATTACTAACTATTATTCGTAGAAAAAAGAAAAGTTCCACATTTTTTTGATTTATTTCAATTATACGAAATATATTTACTTTTAAATTCTTCTCGCACTTCTGTTTCACTTAAATCAATTGAATCCTTGGAAATTTCGCAGGGAACTATAAAATTAAATCAGATAACATAGTGTTGATGAACAAATTAAATAAAAAAAGAAATATACCGAGATCCAAAGTCTTAGTCCCAAGCAGAGGCGTAGTCATAAGTTTTCCCAGGAGAGGAGTGTCTGCCAGCTCTCCAGACATTTTTTTATGCCAAGGAGTAGTAACCGGATACCTTGAACATCTCCCTCGTCTTAATATTCTCCTAATCATGATGTAGCTGCTATTAGTAATTCAAAGGAGAATTGTTTTTATTTTATAATGCATTTCATAATCACTATCCTGTTATTTATTTATTTAGAGGTGAAATTAGAAACTAATATTTATTGCAAATTAAAAGAAGGATAAATATACTTGAAAATGCTTTTTGATAAGAACTAAATAGAGCTTCGTGGTTTTCACCATGTAAAAAAAAAGAGAATAAAACTGCATCCAATCTTAAATACTACATAGATTTTTCTAGAAAGTTTTTCTGTGTTATCTGCTAAAGCTTTGTAACAAAACTGAGATTATTTAATAGATTTCGAATGAAGACTTGTTAGTCAAAAAATCGAAAGAAAACGTTACTATTTCATGAAAAATTTATCAAAATATTGTAGTAAAATATGAATAACTCATGATTAAATTATTGAACTTCAGTTAATAAGTCTGGTGCACTACTAAAAATTAAAATTCTAAAATTTTGATATTAGAGAATATTCTCTGTTTTAGAGCTGAAATGAATACATCTCAAAAACTTTGTCAGAAATACTCATCCTTCTTGTATTTTGAAATGCATATTAGTTCATATATTACAATAAGACTCTGTCGATCTACTACTATTTTTAAGCATGGGTCAACACCATCTTGCAGAGTTGATAGCGAGACTTCAGAATGTCTACTGTCATGGGTGATGAATTTTGCTCAGTTTATCTATCACGGTCTGTAAGTAGAATGTGATGATTTACTTTTTTGGTTTTATCCTTTAAATGCTACTTTTATTCATTTTTAATAAAGAATCATTAATTAGATATAGTTTAACGGTTATTTCGTTATCGAAAGATATAATCTCTCTGAGGGTGTATGGAAGACATATATTCAAATTTCTACGCTATATACTTGGCAATATTCTATTTAGACAGTTGTTTTTAAATAAAATACCATGTCGATATTTTTGGTGATAATATTGAATTTTTTCGATTATATAACGAATAATACTATACAAATAATAAATAGTATTAAATGGTGGTGGTAATAGAGGTTTATTATTATATTCATAAACAAGTAAAAAACGTTGATAACGCCATATTCGATGAGATTGCATTTGAACATTTTCAATTGTAATACTTAAATAAGAAAAAATAAACATAAGTTTACATATTATATTAAGAAATTTTTTTTTTTCGTCTCACTTAAATAAAGCAACAAGTACATTAAGAAGAAGTATATTAGAAATAGCAACAAATAGTATAGTCAATATAAAAGCTACAATAGAATAGGCATTTGTACCATCTAAAGAAGATAAAAGAATCTTTATTATAATTATATATTTAATTTGAATTATATTTACCAATAGGATCTACTTGTCCGAAAATTTTCCAAACACCAAAATTTGTAACATCATGTAATAATTGCCATGACCATAAACTACTTCTATCACCTGTTACTGATCCATTACTATTATAATTCCAAGAAACTTGATTATCTGTAGTTATTAATGACCATGATGATATTGAATATCCAAGAAAAAATATGAGAATAAAACAAACAAAAAATAGTAAATCTTTCATCTATTAATATAAAATACAATCAAAAGATTAATCAAATCATTAGATATACTAACTGTATTAAAAATCATAATCAATTTCGGTCCTAATTTTTCAAAAGCAGCAAATAGTTCTAATGTACGAACATACCAAAGTATCAAATCAAGACATAAGAATATTCTGAAAAAAAAAACAGATGAATCAAAAAAATAAATATATTTCACCTTACTTTGATACAACAAAAAATTGTTCAAGAATAATAAATCGTGTAATAAAACTTATTAGATATAATATCGCTCCAATCATATCAATCATATGCCATATTCCTGAAATATATTCTCTTTTTGAATCGATACATAAAAACTAAAAAGAAAAAGAAGTTATTTCAATAATAAAATCTATTTTTATATCATTTGGCGTATTTCTTCAATGATAAAACTCCAAAAACAAATATGAAGAATTATTTCAGTTATCGATATTGGTAAAATTTGAATATCAGATTGATATTCATTATAAATATTTAATGGAAAATAATCAACAAGAAGAACAAAACTGAATAAACCAAGAAATAAAATATAAAATATCTAATCGAAAAATAAGACAAATAAATTTAAATAATATAAATTTATCTTTACCATATAATAATAGAATCGTACAATAGGTGCTTCATAGAAATATTTTATTTTATCATACCATGGAACATAATTTTTTTCTTCTTGTTGAACAGATCTGATAAAATATGAAATAAGATTTTTTTTTTAAATAAAATAATCATCATTTTCTTACCCGATAAAATGATACATCTTAGTCCATTGACTAACTTTTTTATGTTTTTGTGTGTAAGGCAAAAAGATACAAAATATTGGAAAAAATGGAAAAAATAATGAACAAAGAAATACCTTGAAAAATAAAAACATATATTTTATATGTTATTTTATTGTTTAATATTTACTCGAAAATTAATAGCCGTTCTTTTATAACTAATACATCCAAACCTATAATTTTTTTTTTATTTTCTCTTTAAAATACAAAAAAAAAGAATTCGAATCTTACCATTGATGATCAAGATATTTTTGAACACATTTTGATGCAAGAAATGATTTACAATTAATTTTCCGTGCTAATTGTAATGGATAAATATTATTAAATGCAACAGCAGGCTGTTTTAGAAGATCAATAGCAAAATTTTCATCATTATCAAAACATTGATCAATAATCGACATAGCATGTATATCAAATTGTCTAAAGACAAAAAGAATTAATATAATCAATTAAAATTATTCGAATTACTCAGCATTTTCTTCATATTGTTGTTTTATATCAATGTCAAGTTCTGAGCTTGCTGCACGTCGATAGATTAATGCACCAAATAATGGTGCTACTGATGAATTCTATTAAGAAAATTTTATTATATAGTGGAATCTATGTTATTAATAAATCAACAATCATATGTTTAATTCGTTAGTTTCATAGCTAGAATGAGCATTTTGTTTGAGTATGACTAGCGTGTTTGATATTCAGTACAATAGTTTGTATATTAAATGTATGTGTTTAATCCTGTAAAACTTACCCAAGTTTTGGAACAAAGGTATGTTGCAAGTTCCAATCGATTAAGAAAAAGAGCCCATAAAAATAATTCCTGTGGAGCATCTTTACCTAATGACATATTATCATCTAATAATAAAAGATTATTATTTTTGTTTGTATTATCCTATAAAGATATTTCTAAGAGAATAACTTAATAGATCAATATGTTTCATACTAAGATCAAATTAAAATAATCTAAATAAAAATCTTCTCTTCTGCATATAGCATTTTTTTCTTTGCCTTTAACTGGTAATCGATTATTAGTCTAAAAAGAAAAAAAAATTATAAAAATTATAATTATTTTTCTAGTTTTTTGTTGTTAAAATTAATATACCAATGTTGTTGCATAAAGTTGTTTAAGATCTCCATTTGTTAATTTTTCTAGTGATGTACCAAATTCAACGAGTAATTCAACAAAATCAACATGACCACGATGAAGTGCATCAACAAGAGCACGATGTAGATCATCTTCCTTTTATTTATTAAACAAAGAGAATTAATTAGCTAAAAAAACAAACAAACACATGACATACTTTCCATTTAGATATTGTCGTATCAGTAAGAAGATATTTTTGAGCATAATTAAATTTATGCCAAGCCTATACATGAATATAAAACAAAAGATCTATTTTTATTATTTATCTTTTTAAATTACTATAGGTAATTTAAGTTCTGCTGTTCGATGATTTCGTTCAATATGATCATCAGAAAATTTTGCAGCTATAAAAAAGATTAATTTGTAAAGAGGTTCTTATCAATAAGGAATATTTACCATTAAATAAAGATTCTAGGATAGCATCTTCAAGATTTCCATGATGTCGTTTACTATCAAATTTGAAAATTGTCACTAATTGTTTATGTTCGTTTAATACTCGACATAGATTATCTATAACTTCATGAAGTCCTGTAATAGTAGCTTGTGCTTTAGTCAAACTTTATAAGCAAATAGAGATAATTACTTTTCATAATTTATTTTGAAAGTAAAACTTACATCTTTTGGATCTTTATTTCTTTTGAACTACTATGAGCTAAGCCGGTTTGTAGTCGTGTAGGATAAACATTATCATTACCATTCTCGCTTTCAGTATAACAAGTATGTAATTCAGCAATAAGATCAGCAACACGACCTGATTCCTTTAAAAATGAATCAAAGTTTATTTATGTGATTCAAAATTTTCTCTACTTTGATAACAACAACTGGTGTATTCGAATCAAGTGCCTCACAAATTGTTCGAATTGATGATAGACCACCTTCAACCAAAACCATAACAATAGGTATCAATGATTCAATTGTTCCGTCTGTAGCAGTATCTATGCTCGTATTTCGACAATATTTTTCAATTTCTGCTCGTAATGGTAGAACAGCATCAGCATTTGATTGTCCATCATCAAATAATAAAAAATGAGTATGATTTGGTTCTAAATCACATCGTTTCTTTTGCTTTTCTTTAACAGTATAATGTCGAACTGCATATTGATCATCATTATCCTAAATTATTATGTAAAAGAAAATCATTTTTTTTTGTTCTTCAAATAAATTGTTCTACTAACCATACGAGCAGGATGTGTTATTTTACTAAGACGATGTCTTATGGATGGAAGTGTTTCTTTTTTAGTATTCGCATCTGTAGAAAAAGTTGTCGATTGACAATCAACTTGTTCATTTTCTGTGGTATAACCCCAACTACCAATACCAATACATGATATATCAACATCATTTTTTCGATTTTTATAACGATATTTATTAAGAGCTTTACCAACTTCTTTAAAAACACCAGCATTTGTTCCAGCTGTAATTAACCATGCGTCTATTCAATCAATATTTGTTATTGATTATCTATAGTGAAATTAAATTGTAATTACTCGTCGTAATAGTAGCAGAAACTAAACCACTTTGAAAAATCTTTCTAAGACGTGTTGACATATCAAAATTTGTTGCTCCACCAGTTACAGATATAATTAAATCAGGTTTTGATAAAAGCCAACCTTTTTGCATAAATTTAACAACTGTTACAGCATTTGTATTAAGACTTAACCTTATATATTGTGAAAGACGCGTAGTAGCATCATCTATATTTTCATCAAATTTGATAAAACCATAGTGCTTAGTTAACTCATTTGGTCAAAAATGCCAAAAGAAAAAAAAATAGTTGTCTTTATTAATGAAGATATTTTTGAACTTACAGATCATTTTGACAAATTTTTAAAGTTTCAACCGCCTAAAGTATTTAAAAAAAAACAATCATATGATGTCGTCATAGTTCCATCTATCAATTACCGTTTGAACATTTCGTAGTTTCTGAGCGATATTCTCGTCCATTGCTGATTTATTTGAATACAAAAGGAAAAAACAAACTAAACTAAAAGCAAACGAGAAAGAAAAATCATTAAGGAAGTGAACAAGCATAAAGAAATTATGCCGTCATCATTATGAATTTTATAAGAAAGAATTCTTTTTTTCCCTCTTGAAATCAGTGGCAGATCTAGGATTTTGGAAGGAAGTGCGATCATAGGTAAAAAACACATTTTGAAATGCATTCTGGGGATGACATATAATGTGCTACATTATACTCCACTGTATGCGGAGACGTCAATATAGTTACGAAGTTTTGGCAATCCAAACGTGGTTGTCAACTCCGTATTGGTTGTTTGATATAGCATTCTCATATTCTGGGAGTGGTCTGATGTAAGAAGATTATTCTCCTGCAAAATCCATGGGTTGATATGAAAAATACATCGAACTTTTCTAAACTTGTCATACTTAATCGAGTTCTATAGACTTGCTGAACGGTTTTTCAGAGTTTTTATGAGAAAGAAATAGAAGAATATGGTCCTTCTCTTCACTCAATACATATCTACATGCACCCACATCCTTTTTTTTAAAACCTTCTATGGTAGGATTATTGTAAATAAAATATTCGTTCTGACTTAAGAGAAAAGTTGTTTTTATTGTAGTCTTTATAATATGATTTTTATTTAAAGTATCTGAATATATGATATTACATCTTAAAACAGGGTGCTACGCATAAGTCAATATCATGTTTCCTGCATTTTTAGTTTGTCTTTGCTTCCTATTTTAGATCACACATCTTGAAGGTGTGATGATATCATACTATAGCAGTAGTCGAAGGAAAAAAAAGAGAGAGGATGCACAAATATAACATCTAGATGGATAAAAAACTTCTGTTATTCGAGATTTTTGTGGAACTCACATATATTTTCGAAGAAAATAGTGAGTGTAAGTTTTAAATCGAAGTTTATTCACTGGGAGGAAACTAGTCGGAAAAGTTTAATTCTCTTTCTCTTAAAAATAATTATTCAATAAATGGAAGTTCTTCTTCTCTGAATGTTTTTTCATTGAATATTCTGCAAATTCCCTAAAACAGTCCTATTGTAAGAATACAATACTCAATCGATCGTTTTGGTGTCTATTTTGGGACCAAAATGTAACTGTCTCCCTAATTAAAACGTAAAAACTTAGGATGTGAGTATGTCTCTGCTCATAATCTACACTTGCATTCATATTCTACATCTACATTCCCACTCACACTCAACGGACATAAGATTTGTCTGAAGTCAAAAGAAGTTTTTTCTACTCGAAAATCATCAAATACTAGTCGAAAAACGATGTAAAGTGGCTATCATGAGAATTGATTGGAGCAAAAGTACCTCCATCAGATATCGACTTTCAAGTTGAAAATGATACCAGGAGAAAAAGTACATTGAAATTTGACTAAAGTCATTCCATTGGTGAGATCGAAGCAACCAATTTCATAAAACTTGATGACTTGTTCTTCGAAACAGTACCACTCGATTGGATCCGGCTTTAGAAAATTTAATCCAAGTTTTAATGAGTTTTTAAATTAAAAACTAGAAAGTTTTTTAGGCTTTCAGAGATTGATTCATATGTTTCTTATTACCTAAGTAGTTTGGAAGAAGAATATTATATTTATAATCCGTACACTTGATTCTACCGAACTATACGAAAATTTAGTATGACCACGATTAAATGATTATGTTGTTTAATTATTGACGAGATCAAACTTCTTCGAATGGGGAAGGAATGGAAATTCGAAAAATTGTATGTCTAAAATGGAAATCACAAAAACCAAATTGACAATAATAATTACAGATCCTTTGTGAAACGATTAGGTTTATAGTAGCTGGTCTCTGCTATTTATTTGGTAGAGGGTATCGAGATGTTTTCAACGCCAGAAAATAATCACTATAGTAAGACAATAGCATTACATATATATGCAGTAAATGGTACTACTTAGACACACAAAAATCTCCTCTATGTTTATTACTAAAGAAATTTAGACAGACTACATTTTCATACATACATACATACATTTTCTCGTTGTATTCGTAGATAATATTCCTTGATCACGATAAGAACACTACTTTCCTATTGATCTTATTCTATGTATATGTACTGCAGAAAGCTGTTTTTCTTTGCTCATTTAACCCTATCGCGAAAAATGATATAAATAATATCAACACGTGGGTTATTCGTTTTTTTTTGACAATTTAACAACTATGTGCTTACTCTCTTGTGCATCGTTTGTATAGCCAAAAGGTAACTATATATAAAATAACCATTAAACATTGCGGTATGCGCAAAATAATGATGACAATATTTTCACATCATACTTCTCTTTTCTTAAAAATATACTTTTTTTTTCTTGTTCTCACATTCGTTCTTCGTACTAATACAAAAACAGGCATCATAATGTGCGTAAAGCAATCACATGGATATGGTCAAAACAACTTGTTTTTTTTCTCTGAAGATAATTGAATCTTGAATTGATTGAATATGTTGAGTGTTCATTTTAAATATTTATTATGATATAACTTGATTTTAAAATTAAAAGGAAATATAAACAAATCATTTGATCTAACTAATTATAATATTTGTATAATAGTTATCTGACAAAATGATTCAAAGATTCGACAATCGAACAGATCTTTGTCAGTCTTTTATCGACTTCTTATGGTAAAATGAATCAATTCTTTGATTCATTGTTTATTTGCCACAAATCTCATTGTCAATCATCCACGCTTTCTCAAAATCAGATATACATTTATTTAAATCTAGTTTTGACTCTTCTTTATAAATCTCTCTACACTTCCATGTTACTCAAAAAATTTCATCTGTATCTTTGTTTACAAAGGTTCGTGTCAGGTGTTTTATTTGATTTCATACTTTTTTGCATATATATATTGATGGTATTTACCAAGACTTCAACTTTCTAAAAAAACTTCTTGAAGTTTATTTACATTATCCTCTTGATTATTATAATCATTTGTTATTGCAATTATTTAGGATGCCATGTCTTTAACAAGATTAATTGTATCAGATTGTTCATGCTTAGAATAGTAGTTAAATAGTTTGTCGATTGCTATGTATTTTCTACATCATTCGATAACCATCATATAATATGATTATTTTTCTGACAATGTCGTATCAAGACAAATATTAGTATTGTTTGTTTCACATGTATAAGTGAATCTAATTTTATTTTTATTTTTATTAAGATGATCATCAAATGATTCAATTTGTTCTTTATAAGAATGTCATTGACGTACCTTCCGAGTTCAGAAGTGTAGCTAGAATCGATGACAAAGTGTTATCCATGGGTAAATCCGGGGTGTGAGTGTGGGTAGGATAGAGGTGGAAGTCACGCTCACACTCACACTACTCCACCCACGATAGCTCTGAGTTATGTTCGTCATTTATTCTGTAACAGATGTCTCCTTCTTATCTAGGTCTTTTGAATGTCAAAAGAATAATCAAGTTCTAGACAGATGCGATACTGCAATCTTAGGCCTTGATGGAAAGCAGCGCGTAATAATGTAAGATTCACGAATAAATCCGTATGTACATCATGGTTCGGTCTTTCATAGTAGAATCCACAAGAAGTTCAGCTTATCAGATGTTTTCTTGAGAAAGATGAGATTTTTAAAGACGGAGGAATGTGAAGAAAACAGAAAACCAAATGAAGAGAATAATCACACGTGGTCTTCTATAGTATTCATTGATCCAATTAAGACGGCTTCCAACTGAATGCTGAAACTTCTAGCTACTTGTTTAATAGGTTCAAAATTAATCAGCCATCTCAGCGTACCTTCTTTGTGCTCTAGATAGAAAGCACGAGCAGAAGGACATTTTTGGAATGTTAGCCTGAACTTCGACTGCAACATGGAATGCCATTCGCTTGCTCCACAAGTAGAAAAAAAAAGGATCTTTTCGTCGTGTATCCATAGGATAATGAAGGATTTTTGAAAGTATCATTATGAACAGGTACTGACATTCTGTACAAATATAAATCACTGCATGATGTCCTTCGTAGACTGAAGGCAACACATCAGTCCATGTCTTCTGTGAGAGAATTGCAGCATTGCATTAAAAATTTCTGCAGATTGTCAGAGTTTTGTTTTGATGAAGGCAGAAACTCACACACCAATAAAAGTAATTCCGCCGTACTGTACCTGATAATAAAAACGAGATACATTTTACATATCTATATGATCCCATAAAAAGAGTTTCAATTTTATGTGAAAATATTCAATGAACATTCTTATTTTGATTTAGTGATATGCTGGAAACAATACCGATTTGCAATCTTGGACTGCATACCTATGTTTTTTTTTCACATCATAGAAGAAGTTGCTTCGTTACATTGAAAAACAAAATTAAATTGGCCGCAGAAAACACCGAGCTTCTCTTCTCCTCGCTATCGTCATCCAAATTAATTTCATTTCTTTGCAAAAGAAAAGAGCACGTGGAAACTACAATAAGTTTTTTCTTCTTCGATCAACTTTTCAGAATAAAAAATGTATAATTTAATGGCGCGAACAACATACAGTTGTTATTCATCATTTAATGTACGGCGCACTTCAAAAAATGTGGTGAATCATTCATGCAACATATTTTTTATGTGTATAAGCCGATGAAAGACTTGTAGTTGGTAGGGGTTGTTCGATTGCTAAGCACGATATCTATCGTACATTGAGATACGTATATTTCTTGTCAGTGAGAATGTGGGTGTGGGTATAGATGCAAAAACGAGCAAAACTCGCATCTACACCCGCATCCTCGTCGCTAACGTGGACGCCTTCAGCGGTGAAATTGCTAAGAGTTATTGCAACACTTTTCGCTTTCGAGAACAATAAGAAAAGGAAGAATTTTTCATAACTCTTAGAAAAGTTTTCGCTTCGCGAAAAATTGTTGCATTGTAGGTTGTACGAGAAAGATTAATGTTAGATCTGATACCAAACAAAATTTTGCTTTCTCCAAATCTAACTATCTCAGAAGTC